CCATTACTACCTGAACATGTAAGAACGGAGGAAACGATAATGAGAGAAGTTTTACTCGATGTGACTCTAGCAAAAGCATATTTTTGTTTATTTTTTTGTATCTTACGAATGAAAGTTTTCCTAAAGCAGTTGAAAAAATAAAGATCTTTTTCTTTCCAAAATGTTCGTGCGAGTTCTAGTTATGCACGATATACATAATAAATTAGGTATTCAACTAAAGTCTGTTGATAATAGGATTTATCAATATGAATGAGAGTAAGTATTGTTTTTTGTTTGGTGAAATTTTATGAATTCATATTTTGTCCCTAAGACTTTGGCACTATGGGTGATTATAAAGTATTCATCTGTAATAAGAATAGGAATTAACAATAAATGATCTTTAATAAAAGTTACTATTCGACAATAAAAGCATCGGAATAAGACAATTAAAAAATTATATGTGCCATGTATGAACAAGTTTGACAGATAATATCTATGATGTTTAGAACGATAGATTCAAGTTGGATATTTCCGTTTATTCATGCTGTGTTCTATGATATAATTAGTTCTTCTATACTTCTATTGCGATAGGTCTTGCGAGAAGGACGGTCAGGTGGCAAGTCATCTGTTACTTGATAAACTGGGTCATAGTGAACTTAGTTCTTCCCCATTCCCTTTCAGCCACCACTTGTAGCACTTCGATGATAGAAACACTTTCTATCGAATTTTCAATTCCTACCACATCTAAAAAGCATCGACGACCCTGAATGGATGACTTAGCTTAAACCAAATAATATCATTTTCTGTTGTTTTTCAGAAAAACTTCAATACATTTTCAGAAAATCATTCGATAAAGAATTTTTCGCTCTCAAAAGCTGTTGTATATGTTTTAAGATTTAGTTTCCTTTTTTTTTTTTATTGTTGGAGTAATATTTAAAACATCAACACTTTTTCGATTGAAAATTTTAAAAAATCGAATATGATGCAAATTGTGTTTTTAAACAATAGTTTTCCGAAAGGACCAGTGTGCTGCAAAAAATTCTCCCTAAAATGCTGTATTTTTTTGTATATGTTTCAGTATTTTAGAAGAAACAATAGAGAGGATAATTATGAAGTAAAAACTGGAAAAAAAACCTTGTCTGATAGGATTATGTGATTGTTTTTATTTTTTTTATTTTGATACAACCTAATCTTCTATACTCTTCAAACTTATCAATCACAACATTTTGTTCTGAATTAAATTCTACATCCGAGAACGTAAGAATGACTATTTCATACATTAAGTCTTGGTTTGAAAAACATGCTTTTCCGACATGCATCGAAAAATAGTAGTGAGTTATAATTTCAAGTTTTTTTCCTCATGAACAATAGCATCAGGAACCTTGAAAAGATCGTAGAAATAGCGAGCACAAAATTCTCTATCCCACTGATGTTTACTGCAGTACTTTTTTGGATTGGTCTTCATAAACAAAGACTTACATAAATTGATAAATTTCTACAGAAAATCAATCATCCCAGTTAGACAATTGAGTAGACGTTCATATTTTAAGTTTTATTTCAACAAAAAAGTCTATACGAAACAGATTTGTATAGTGAAAAATTGTCTATCGAATGACTTTCTGAAAATGTATCGAAATGACCCAAAAAAAGCAAATGAAATTGTTCTATTTAATCAATCTGTGTCACCCATTATATTTTATAGTCTTTTATCCAAGGGCAAGGAAGTATTCTGTTTTGTCTCTCTGTCTGTAAATAGAGCTTTCATAGAAGCTATTTTCTGTAATTATTAGCGGACAAGCTTTTGTTCGGTTTTTTTTTCTATATTGATGTTATGTTAGGCATAATAATGCATACTTTTTCTGATGGCAGTCACGTATGATAGCATGAAATAGAGTTTTGAAAATTAAAGAGATCTTTCTTTTACCTTAAGAAAATTTCACATTTAGTATTAATTTAAATTCAATCACGTCTGGAAATTTAGTTAGGAGACGAGTCACAAGTTTTTCAGTTTTGTTTCTTTTAATATTGACTTTACAAACTAGCTGTATGTAACTCTTGACGTACGAAAATATATAATATATTCTTTAGGCAATAAAAAAGGACAAATCAAACTCATGATAGTACTTTATGATTCATATAAAAATATATTGTCGGGCAGTCTTTTTTTTCTGTTCTTTGCAAAAGCATGATTTTTGCACATAGTTAAACACCTGTCATCGAATAGGAATTAATATGAAAAAAACTTTTTCTTGAAGGTCATTTGAAAGTTTTGCGAAAATAATTCGACTATATTACATTACACAATATCGATTTAAATAAGGATAATCAATGAAATCTCACAATGATATTTTAATCTTTTACCTAAGCAAACGGTGAAATCATTTCTCGTCATATCAATATAAATTAGGTATGAATAGCATAGAAAAAAAACAACAGTTTTCGTGCGATAAGATCATATTTTTTTGTCTAGATAATTATCAAAGATCATAAACAAAGTCTGAAACCATAGTAACAGGTAAATAAATGGAATCGAATCCGACATTAAAAAAATGAATCGATTCTCTTGACAAAAACAACGCTTTGGTGTTCTTCCAGTTTTGATAAACGACATTTTTCTTCTATCCTCTGATTTTCTTTCCTTTTTTCTGCTTACTACACATTAACATCTTTTATTCTCATTCAATGATACGTAAAGTATTACATGTAACGTTGATTTTCTTATTTGGAATTTTATTGACCTTTGTATCAAGCACAACATATACTTGTTCATCGAGTACTTCTTGTGGATGTTCAGTTAATTCAGCTATTTTAACAAAAATTGTTGGGGGAGAAACTGCTTCAAGTCAAACATGGGGATGGGCTGCATCACTTCGTTATACATCTAGTGGTTCTCATTTTTGTGGAGGATCAATTATATCTGATTCACATATTCTTACGGCAGCACATTGTACTGAAAAATTAAATTCTCCTTCTTCCGTACGTGTTTATGTTGGATCAATATATTTATCTTCAGCAGGTCAAGTAAGAGATGTTTCAAAAATTTATAATCATCCGAATTATTCACCATTAAATTATCGTAATGATATTGCTATATTGACATTATCATCACCATTAAATCTTGATCAAGCTGGTGTTGACCTTGTTTGTTTACCTAATGTATCAACAACTGTACTTGCTAATGAAGAATATCCACCAGCAGATCTCAATGTAATGTTAATATATATTTATGTGATATAGTTTTTTTAAAAATCTAATGTGTCATTTATAGCTTGTTGCTATCGGTTGGGGTGTTCAAACAGAAGGTAGTCAAACCGTATCATCAACACTTCGACAAGTAACTATTCAATCAATTGCTGCAACAAATAGTTATTGTCAAAATGCTAAAGTAGCTGATCCATCTACACGATTTTGCGCTGGTGTGATGCCTTCTGGCGGTAAAGGTGATTACTCATATATAAATCATGTCTTTTTTTTTTGAAATCTTTTGTATGAAAAATATTTTCATTTAGATACATGTCAAGGTGATAGTGGTGGTCCATTATTAATGTTTACTTCTAGTAAGATTTGGGAACAAGTAGGAATAACTTCAGTCGGATATGGTTGTGCAAGAGCTTCTTATCCTGGTATTTATACACGTGTTGCAGCTTATCAATCATGGATAAATGCAATAGTGAATCATGCAAATCGAGTATTTCTTATTTCATATGCTATTTTTATTCCACTTTTATTATTAATTTTATTATAAAAGATATTTTTCAGTTTGTTTTTCCATCTTTTGATAAAATAATTAAAACGAAAAAGAAAAAAATTAAGTTCATTTATTTTTTCTATCTGATTTGCATATTATTTTTTTATGTGATACAAAATGAGAACATCTTTTTTGTCTTAGTTTCATTTTTTGTCTTCTGTTATTGTTTAACAGTGACTATAATTATTAATTTCGTTAGAATAATTTTCTATAAGGAATAAATAAGCAAATAAAATACAATTGAATCATTGGTTTATGATAAAGAATTTCTGTGCTAGAACGTGATTCATTTTCTAATTCTAGTTTTTTAATATTTGATATTAATGAATCATCGGATTGAATTATTTTTCGTATATATGAATCATAATAAGCTAATCGTGTATAAACACCAGCAAAACCTGGACTTGCACAAATTCCTCCATAACTTGTAATACCAATTAATTGCCATCGTCCATTTTTAAACAACATTAACGGACCACCGCTATCACCTTGACATGTATCTTTTCCACCTTCAGGAAGGCCAGCACAAAACTGTACAATATCATCATTGATCGTATTTAAACAAGACGAATCTGTTCGTGCAATTGTTTTAACAGTAACTTGTTGAAGTATAGGTGAAGGCATACGTACAAAAGGTTCTGTTGTGCCCCAACCGATTGCGATAAGATTTTCACCTATAGGTGGATATTCAGCTTGTTCCAAATTAAAATCTGTTATTGCTGGTAAACATATAATAGACATATTTGAATTACTTAAATCAATTGGCTTGTGAAGATGTAATATAGCTAAATCATTTATATATAATCGTTGATCATATAATGGATGAATATACATTTTCGTAACATTACGTAGTTCACCAATATTTGATAAATTATTTATATCAAAATTAAGTGATAAACAAGATAATGATGGTATATCATTAACACAATGTGCTGCAGTTATAACAAATGATGGAGTTATAAGTGAAGCACCACACTGATGTATATCATTTCGTCTTAATGATGCCATCCATCCCCATGAGTGAGAAATAGTTACTGGTTCACCATCAATAATTTTTGATAAAATAATTGTTGATCGTTTCGAACAACCACATGTTGCACGGCGATCACATGTATAAGTAATAGAGATTGTAGCATCAAATATTGAGAATAGAAATAATAATACTACAAAGGTTATCATTACTAATAAGAACTATCATATACACAATCAACTGTTCTATATCCTACGTGCACTATCGACCTTTATAGTGCACGTTCAAGCCTTGAGAACCAAAGAAAGACGTTTTTTTGGTTTCCTATTTTTTTTCGTCCTGCACATATGTTTTTGCGCTCAAGTGAAACGGCGTAAATCCCATTCGTTTGACAATGAAGGTATATCCATCAAGGGTATATATATATATATATATGTATATATATATATCTGTATCTCTATCGATCTGTATATGTATATATAATAAAAGAAATAGTAAACGAAGTTTGCACAGTGCAATTTTTTTTTTATCTATGAAAGCGTAGTTTACATATAACCAAACAAATAAAAACTATTAAAATATTTTTATAAAATATCGATGATCCCGCTGATAAAAGAGAATATTGTTTTAAAGTTGTATTTTCAATACAAGTTATATTATTTGCTATAAAACAAGATATCCAATCTATGTAATATGAAACACGTGTATATACACCAGGATAATCTGCTAAAGCACAACTAATTCCATAACTTGTTATACCAACTAATATCCATTGACCATTAGAAAATATCATTAATGGACCACCACTATCACCTTGACATGTATCTAAGACAAAAAGAAATAATTAAACTTTCACTATTTTTCTATTCTAATAAATATTTCATTTTTTTTTCAATACCTTTTCCACCTCCTTGAACAGCAGAACAAAACTGAATAGTAGAATTATGAATAGCTTTGCGACAATTAATGTTTGTCTTTGAAATTGTTTTTAATGTAACTTGTTGAAGTGCATTAGATGGAGCTTGATCCCCTGATGCTAAAACACCCCAACCAATAGCCACAACACTTGCATCTTTTGGTGGATATTCAATAGTTTTAGTTAGTGGTAAACAAATAAGAGCTATCGAACGATCATTTATATTTACTGGTGATGAAAGGCGCATTATAGCTATATCATTAACAAAAGTATTTGAATCATAATATCGATGAATATAAATTCTTGATACTGTTTTTCGTTGATGAACAATAGATAGATAAGTTGAACCAGCATTAATATTAAGATTTGCTATTGATTTTATTGACATAAGACAATGAGCAGCAGTTAAAATTAATGTTGAAGATATTAATGAACCACCACACACATGATTATTTCCTATACGTATAGATACAACCCAACCCCAAGCATCTATGTCAGCCTCTTCACCACCAATAATTTTTGTTAAAATAGCTGAACTTGCTGAACAACCACATGTTGAATTCGATAAACACGAATAAGTAATTGTGGTAACAGCTGTGAATCCAACTTGTATAAAAAACAAACGCAAAACGAAGGCCATTACCATTCGTACGTTCTATTTCTCTATCGTTTTCGTCGATGATTTCTTATTGACACCAGTGCCATACGATACACGATATATATATATATATATAAATATTTGATGACGTATTTTATTTTTACACTATTCAAAGAGAAGGATATGAAACATTAAAGGATACGAAATGAAAAAAAAAAATAACGCGAAGGTTGTTAGCCGTCAAATAGTATTCATCAAAAATTTTATATCATAAAATAAAAGAAATTATTACAGAATGTTAATAATGATCATTAACTTCGAGATAAAATGCTCGTTTGACATCTGTTTTATCTGAAACCAAAATCAACAAATTTATAAATCATGTTTGTTATTTTGCATTCAACTGTAATCAACTCAAATAGAAAACAATTCCTATATTATATTATTAATATAGACTTTGCATAGCTCCATGAGTTTTGAAACTCATATAATCGTATAATAATTTCCAATCAATTGATTTTATGTTTAATTGGTTTTTAAAAACATGTAATTAAGATATAATTAGCTGATTATAAAAACAAAAGAATATTTCACAATATGCAATACTATACGAACCATATTTTTAATGTACATTAGATCTTACATAGACTTTGATGAAGTAGTTGCAACTAAGTCTTAACGAGAATTGGAATCTACAAGATTTTTTCTTCAATATTTTACAGAATTCACATAGTTCCTGTCTCTGGTATTTATCATTAATAACAAACGCATTTAAATACGATAAGAAAAAATGTAACCGGTGCGATTATTACTTGATAGTAAATGTTTTTTTTCCATAGATTACGACTTCATATAACGATAAAAACTAATCTATGAATATTTGGTTTCTTTTTTTTTTAGAGTTTTTGTTAAATATAAAGTTATAGTAAATTTATGTCGATGCAAAAGAAGAAATTTCCATAATAAAAATTGGTTTTTTCTTCAATAGTATTTTTTATCAGGAAACATCACACACTCTCAAAAAAAAAATGAACTTTTCCTGTTTGAGAGAAAAAGCTGTAATTACATACGTCACATACTACGACCACTTGAGCTCGCATATATCATATAGTAAATACGGCTCAGAAATAAAACATGTAAACTATTGAGTTTATTGCTATTTTTGATCATCTTATTCTAATGATTGTACACTGTTGAATTTCTTCATTAAGATGTGCAAAGGAAAAGTTTTTTCTTATCTCTAATTTGTTATTATAGACAAATATGACATCATTAATATATATAGATAGATATATATAATTAGTTGATCATGCTATTTTATAGAAGTAATGCGTAATAATTACTTAAAAAGTTCGACAAAAATGACAAAAGAATCAAAAGAAAAAATATTTTACTAAATATCTTGAAATGAAAACAGAATCATTGATGGTGAATATCAATTTTACACAACAATCAAGTATGTATTTATAGTACTAAAATATTGTATTGATTTATAGAGGTATTCTATATCTTTTCTCATCTAGGTGAAATGTCTTATTCACATTATGTAGCTGACTATGACTGTATCATATATCGATTTATGTCAATTATGTTTATTAGTACTTCAGTTATATCATTTGTTTTAAATATTCGTTTTTTAATTATTGATCGTCATCGATTAAAGCCATTAGTATTAAATTTAATCATTAATTCATATATATTCATGGTTTTTAGTTTACCTTATATATTAATTCAATCAATAAAATGTTATCCAATTCAATCATATATTATTTGTTGCTTTCAAAGTTTTGTGTGTTTTACATGTGCTATTTGTGTTATGTATACAACATCATTATTAGCATTAGTTCAATATATAAAATTATTTTATAATTCGAGTAGAATATATCAAATAATTGAAAAGAAAAATAATTTTCTTATTCCATTATTATGTTGGTTAATATCATTACTTTGGTCATTACCACCAATGATGAATATAAAACCAGGTTTTATACGCGAAGGTCAAGGTTTTGATTGTGGTCTTAATTGGATAAAATCAGATATTCAAAGTCGTTTATATTTATTTTTTGCATTTATATTCATTTATTTTTTACCATTATTTTGTTTATTATATACAAATATTCGTATATTAATAACAATACGTAAACTTATCTACAAACGATACCCATTAGTACCAAAATCTAATGAAAAAATATCTATTGATATGCATCATCATTTTATTGATAAATTTACTGTTATGGAAAGTAATCGTCTTAAACATCTTCGAATTGATCGAAGATTTTCTCAAGCAATCATGATTACTGTTTTACATTATTTATTAGCTTGGACACCATATTCAATATGTGGAATATTACAAATGTTAATAGCTATGAAATATATTCATTATGAAATTCCATCCACGATATTAACAATATCAGCATTAACAGCAAAAATAGCTGTTACGGGACAATCTTGTGTTTATTTTTTTACTACACGATCATTAAATAAATAAAAAGTATAATGAAAATTCTTTAGTTTTAATTTAATAGTTTTATGATATTCATTATTTTTTCAACTTAAGTAATTATTACTAATATGATGGAAGTTAAAGTTAATTCAAAGTATCATCTTCTTTCTTTCTTCTCTTCTCACTTTGTTCTTCACATACAAACTGATGACTAGCAGTAATAGAAAAAGAAAGATGGCCTACTTTCATATGTATATATGGTTAGTTATAATAAAAACATTATAGGATTGATCATAAATATTTGGCAGCATTAATTAATTAACAGAACTTTCTAAGGTGCTATATATTTTTTCAGAATATTTTGAAAGTTATGATCATATATTAAATGCATAGAACTGTGTTACTAATCAAGCTTAATTTAGTAATATCTTTTATTTGAAAGAGTAGAACTGTAAATTTTTATTCTAAAAGATAAAGTTCATAAGTACTTTTTAAAGTGTATCAATATGTCACTTTTTTCATATTTACTTCAATTTGTCTCGTTATTAGGTACTTTTCTGTTTGACTACTTTTTTTTTTTTTTATTAAAACGCTTTTTGATAAAGTTTCTTTGAAAATAAGCCATATTGTCAAATATAATAACAATTAGGATCAAGAAATGGTCATCCGGTACCTTCACTACACCGGTTATGAATGTTTTTACTATGACAGAAAGAACCTGCTTTCAGGAAATGTGCCGATGAGTCAATCTTTTCAAAACCTATTGAAAGAATTAGAAAAATGGTAAATTTTTATACTTCAGCTAAAAGTGAAAGTCTTTAAAGAATATTTCTGAATTTAATCTTTAAGACGAAAATTTCTGAAATTAATCTTGCTTCATCAATATCGAAGTGCTATGTACATTTAAAATATGATCATACTTGTTGAGACACTCTGTAAATCTTCAATGATGATAATCATGAAAAAGAAAAACTCGATTAAGATTGACGAAATTTTCTTTTTGTCTTTGATTAGTTATTAATATTAGACATTGGGAACTATTGAAGCAGAACATTGTATTGATGATTGTCATTTTCTTTTCATTTTGTCCTTCTTCTTTATTTCTTCTTTTCATAAAAAGAAGAAAAAAAAACCTAGAATCAGTATACTATTCCAATATGCAGGTGTTTATATCTTTCACAACATATTAAAACAATAGAATCAACTAAATGTAGTAGAATTAGAAGTGACTATATGACAAATTTTTCTATCATATGTCTCATACGGCAGAATAGAGCAGAAATCACTTGTGTCCGTGACCTCTGACACAAGGCAGAATATCATGCATGATAAAGCAGCTTGTTATTTTTATTTTCTATCTGGCAAAGTAGATATCATGTATTAGTCATTCTTCATTTTTCATGTTTTACTTTACTTTCAAATAAAATGAATATCTTCTTAAATAATAACGAGCCAAAAAAACAACAACAACAATGATTTAAAGAAAGATCTTATCGAAGTGTTATAAATAAAGAAGAATTGGATTTTATACGAATAGGTTCATTTCAGAAGATTGCGTTTCATTCCTCTTGAATATAGTTGATATCAAGTCAATTGACGTTTACTTCTAAACTTTAATATTAATTGATGTCCTACATTTTTTATTCACAAACAAACTTATAATCATTACTGTCATTCCATCACTCTCCTTTACTCTCGTTTTAATATTGAAGGTGTGTTATTTGTTATTGGATCCATTAATTTTGCTCACTCACTATAGAATAGATAAGATCACAAGATGACAAGATCATCTAGTTCTATTCTCAACTCTGAGCAGAATCTTGAAAATTATTAAAGATAAAAATATTGAGAATTTGCAATCAATATTTAATCAATTATTTGAAACAGATTTTCAAGATTATCTTCGACAACAGATTGATGCTCTTGTAAAGAAAACGGTCACATTTTGCTGCATGAGTTCAAAAGGTTGATGCTCTTGTAAAGAAAACGGTCATATTTCGCTGTATGAGTTCAAATGGTTGATGTACTCGACATTTTATTTATTTATGTTGCTGAACTGAATACTGAAGATAGAACAGACATAACAATAATAATATTTTCTTTCGGCTCTGATGATGTGTTCCAATTTTATTATGCTTTTTCCATATACAGTTTCAATCTTATGTGAGAAAAATAATGATTGTTTTATCAATTATACTGCTCATAAAATACTGATGATCTATTATTTGTCGCATTGTACATGTTGTGAAAATCTAGAACTATTGAATATTTTCTTAAAAACTTTTTATTTTCTACAGTATTTTAAAAAAGATTTTGTAGGTCCATAAGATATTCAGACAATCGTTTCTATGTTGTTTCAATTTTCGAAGTCCTTTTGACGTTAAGTGTCGTACCCTGGTTTTTTTATAATGTTGTGCATAATCTTACTTTGATTCGATATCGTACTCATCAGTTTTGGAGCATAAAACGTGATCTGTAGTTCTTTGTGAGCTAATAACTAATAAAAGTTTATTAAAGATGTTTCAATTAGCAGGTTGAAATTACTAAAGATGAACTAGTATTTAAAACTGAAAGAATGGTTGATTATCAGTTTTGTATGAGTATCATAGCTTATTAAAAAATCACATTTTTCTGACAAAATATTCCAATGCGACATTTTTGTAAGTATGATGATTCTCACTGCTGCGTTTTGAATAGTTATATTAGCTTTTCTTTTAATGAATTGTATTGATGCACATATCGGTGCTAATACTGTTTTTTCATTATTACACATGGCATGCAATATGTTCAATCTATCAGTTATTAAATAACTAGTGAACAATGATGTTGATTAAAAAAGAACAAAGTTAAATTTCGATCAACACCATTATATGTTACAGACAGACCGCTGGATGATTATCAATTAGTTCCAAAATGGAACAATTGAGACTTTCGTCTTCAAGATCTACTTTTTTTCTTTCGATTATTTCATGATGTAACAGAATACCGTGCTAATATATCAGCATATAATATTAATTAAAATACCATACTTTATCTCATAAGACAATTAAAAATAAAATAAAAGTTCAAAGGCTTCTACGAAAATGTGTATATGCTATTACTAATACTAATGAGTCATATTCTAATTAATATATAACGAATGGAGTCTATACAAGTGATAATGTATTTTAATGTGATATAAAATCGAATATTAAAGAATATCATCGAAATCTCAATGAGCATATTTGAAGTATCTGAGACTATACAGAAAATATTACTAAATTCTAGAAAAATAAGTTTGTTTTTTTGTTGTTTTGCTTTTCACCTGTTTATGTTCGCATGGCCATTTTTCGTGTCTTTTTTCCCCGTGTCACCGTTATTTTAAAAAAGAAAAAAAACTAAGAATAACAATAAATAAAAATATTAATAATATTTTTTTTCTTCTTCTTTTAAATGTCATCAATCATTGAGATTTGTCCGTCGAGTATTTGAATCACCATCTAATGACCACTCATCAGTCGACTCTAATCTACGTAGAAGTAACCGTTCAGTAGCAACTAAATCACTATTCAATGGTTTTTCTTCTATAAAGACAAAAGAAAAATAAGTCATGTTTATATTTAATATCTTGTATTTATACTTTGTAATGTATAGAATTTAAGAATACAATGAAACACTATGCCAGTAAGACATATAACAAGACCAAGGATATTTATTGCATTCAATTGATTATTATTATATTCAACAGCCAAATAGAGCATCACAACTTCCTTTAAAAACAAATTTCAGAGAATTTTTATATGCGAGATAATTTAGCTGAATGGAACATACAAACCTTTCATTCAACTTTAATTCTTTACAAAGGTTGTCTTGCTGAATGAGTTCTATATTGACTCTTTCAGTTGATCATTAATTAAAAATTAATGAATGAATATTTCTCTAACCATATGAGGAAAAAATTCAAAAACTCCGCGATGGACTCCTTAGCGTGAATCGTATCTATAGTGAAACTTACAAGAATCAGACTAAAAAAAAATCCTCTTAAAAGCCAATTTTCTAGAAATTCTTTCGCAATAGAACAGTAAATTGGTTATTTTTGAAAAACCTAGACATTTTCAGAAGAAACTTTGGATAGAGATTGTGTAGGTTCAGAAGTTGTCTAGAGAATGTACCGTTTAATTTTAAAAAATACTGCCCCTCAATTTGCGGTTTTTTGTTTAAAACTAAAATGTATGAAGTAAACATTGATGCCTTTGTTGATGCCACAACGTTAACGCTCATTTATTACCAATAACTGCTGTGAACAAAAGTTTCTAGAGCTAATTTTTTCAGATCATCTAGAGTAACCTAACATACATGTAACATGTAAAAATTAGCTCTAGGAAAAGAAAACAATTCTATCTATCTGAAATAATTAGGAAAAAAAATTGGATGTAAATTGGAGAAATTCTTTTCATTTTGTAATTTGCTATCGAGAAAAACAAATGTTGTATTTTATGACATTTTTTTATAGTTTTGAAGTTAAGAAAAACCTGATAAAAAACATCGAATAATCAATCTTTAGAAACATCTTCATGATGACTTCAATTCTTCTAAATTAACATTAATGTTTCTTTTTATTTTCATAATAAACTTTCTCAGCAATCACAGAAATTTTCTCGTTGTAACAAACAAGAACAGTCACGTTTCTTCGGTTCGACTGTTAATCATACACTACCGAGAGTAAAGACCTTATAATTCTGAGCAGTATCCTAATAATTTTCTGTTGAATAAAAAACAAAATTAACTCATTTTCAACTTTGAAACTCTATCAAATGAAAATAAACTTTTACCTTAAAAATACCTGATACACTTAGTGTAAGTGAAGATGTATTTGAAACTAATAAAAATTCACTAAATTCAAGACAAAATGCTAATAAAGCACTAGACCCAAATACTCCTACATAATAACCAATAAAGGCAAATGATTTTTTATTAAGTAAATATAATTCATAGAATAACTGTTGACCTAAGACAAAGAGAAAACAAGTAAGTCACAGAACAAAGGAAAGAATAAGAAAAAAGAAAAAGAAAAACGTACCTTCTCTGATGCCTGCAAGCGGAATGATTACGGCAAGCATCCACGGTTGAACATAGTACATAGCATCGACGGGATTGCTCAAACCTACAACGAAACATAAAACAGAGTAGGGCTTAGTCGTCATTAATTATTTGTTGACCAAGCAAGCTCATCGTTCTTATTATATCTTTCGCTTTCTTCTTTTTTTTATGTTTTTACTTTTGTTAATACAAACGAAAGTTAAAGATATTGTGACAGATATAATAAACGAGACAGATGGCCGAATGAATGCACGGTTTGACAATCGTCAAGTCACTCCTTGTGCGAGTGTTTCTTTTAGCTCATGGACTTATTTGTACGTGGCGTGTTATTGATACAAATGAAAATCAATATTGTTGGATTATTCTTGTTGGTCTCGGTTTTTTACTTGTCGAAACCGGCATTGTTATTTGGCTTCGAAATGGACGTGAATTTAAAACGTATGCGTGTATAACAAAGAAAAAAGAGTTTTCTTTTTGTATTTTTGTTTTTTAGAGTTGCTTTTTGTATCATATTCTATCTGACATGTACAATACCATCATTATGGATAATTCATATTGAAACAGCAAATAGAAAATTATATCATCTTGCTGAAATGAAACTTAATGCTCGAGCAACTGTACCATCGATTCAATCGCGACAACAAAATTCTATTTCTAATAGTACATCATCAGATAGTTCATTATCATCATCATCATCGTCATCAGCATCACGTTTATTATCACATACTATTCCAGTTATATTTTCAATTGAACATATGGAATGTCATGAAAAAGCATGGTACTATATGGATGAACAACGTTGGCTTGATGCAATACAAGAAACAATGTTTATTATTTTATCTATATGTCGTTTAATGGTAACTCGTGAACATATGACTGTAGGAAAAAGTGGAATTGTTTTAATAATAACTTTTGTAAATGGTGCTGATTTATTAGCTATGTCACATTCAATACAATATCATGATGTTATCATTGAACGTCTTTGGATGTATATTGGTCTTGCTCTTCTATCAATTGGTTTATTTCAAATGGCATTTATTGATACAGATGGTTTGACATCATCAACAACAGATCAAATAACATCATATGATGATCCTCAAAGAAAATTAAGAAAACGAATACATTTTCTTCAAGATCAAAATATATGTCCACTTTTTCGAGTAAATTTCGTACAAATAAAAATTTCATTCATATAATAATTGATTCTTTCTATTTTTGTTTTCTTCAATTTGATAGGCTTTATTTATTAATGATGGTCTTCTTTTATTGTATCGAACATTATTAGCTACAAAAGTTCGATGTAGTAAACCAACAATTATATTTTTTATGGGAAAAAATGTTTTAATGATTGCATTACATTGTTATCGTGTTTATCATAGATCAAAAGAACATGCTAAAAAGAAAGCATTTGCTGCATATGAACATTTAATAAATTCACCATCATTATCACGAAAATATCGTCATCCATTTTATGATTTTGAACGAAATCGTTCACGAAAACATCAACAACGACAACAACGATTATTACATCGAACAATACGTCGACCAGTATCAATAACTCATCGACGAAAAACAAAAACTCCACGAACATTACAGACATTTTCAAACAATTCTACCTCATATCCATTTGCACGACGTCGAAATGATGGTGGTCGTGCACGTACAGCATTTGCTCTCTATGGTCTACCGTTTCATTCATCACAAGCTTATCGACCGACAACAGCATCTTCAACTGAAAGTCTTGTTGCCAAAGCAATTGTTCGTTAAATAAGAAGAAAAAAAAACAACTTATCATTTTACCAAGTTCATTTTTTTGTGTTATTAACTGTGTAATTGTCCAACGAAGACCAGAAAGAAAAGAGGCGAGCATAATAAGAGTAAAGCCCAGAGCATCAAATTCTGTATAATGATATGTAAAAAGAAATAAACCACTAGCGATTAAAGTAACAACACCAATTAATGAGCAACGCTAAGAAAAACAAAAGAAAGAAATTTTTATGCAAAAATTTAGATGAGAAATAACATTACAAATCGTTCAAGACCAAATATAATACCAAACATGAGAATGTAAATGATTACAGTTGATTTACACATAACTAAAAAATAAATAGTAGATTTTAAATTTCGATAAACTTATTTTTTCATAACGACACAAACAACAAACTTATTATATATGGCCTATAGATACAACAGAAGTCAGATATTTGACTCGATCTGAAATTCCTCTCATTAATCGTTATAAAAAGCATTATTTCTATGAATACTTGGCACGCTCTATAGTAACAAGCAGTATGAATTTAGGTCAAACTATAATTGCAGAGTTTTGGTCAGCAAATTACGTTTCAAGATATCCCATGATGTGTTAGTGAGCGAGAAGTATTATGTACATTTTCTAGTTGAAAACCTTCAATAGAACCCGTCACTGGTTAGATTACTGAAGAAATTACTCAGAAACCGACAATATTACGGATGGACAATTATAGGTATGTACTCGATGAAGTAACCCTAGATACAAACTATTCAAATTCATTGGCTATTTTAAGTTTTTCAAACTAAAAGTAGAAATTGTTTTGATTGTAAAGAAACAATTATTGAAGACATTACTAGGAATACCAGAGCGAAATCTAACGAGTGAAATTCCCCAAAGGATAAATCGCTTTTGCTTCGAGACTATGTACATTATATAGAACCAAATGAGCTTTGAAAACTCGAAATTCGAAAATAAATCATTCATTTAAAAAAAACCGTAAAAGGTATAGTATCTTGGCAGCAATAAGCTAAAGGAATGAACTCTTTTCAGAATATTCATATCTCATTTGGATCTACATAATGCACATAGTGTTGAATCAACAGTGATGTATTAGTTGGAGAAGTTTCCTCGCAATTCTTTCTATGATAAGTCTGTTTCTAACAGTACTAAATAAAACCATTGAACTCGTACGTTTTTTGTTCAGTTGAATACAAAAAAAACCCAAGGTCAAATTTATCGATAGAATATTATCAAGTATGAATTGATAAAACTATGAACTTGAAAGTTTCTTGATAAGAAATTGTCTAATATTTAACCAACATTTAAAATATCAGTCTGTTTTTTTTTTCTTATTACATGAAAACAACTCCATTTACTTACTATAAAGTGAAATAGTTATATATTGTAAAGACCAATTAGATAAACTTATATCGAGTGAAGCAGTAATACCTAAAATAAATATTTTTTTTGTAATATTAGATAGACTGAGAAGAAAACAAAAAACTTCATATACCCGTAGGAGCAATTTTTCGCCATAAAATCGGCCATGTTAAATTTACACGTTCTCTATCATTATTTTGATGTCGTCCACATAATGTTGTGCAACATGAACAATAACAAAATTTATGTAAAAACCAACGAATAAGGGCGGCAAATATGAATTTAATTGCCATATGTAATGTTGTTATTGAAAGTGGAAATTTATAATCACGAAATAATTGTCGATTAAAAAATGTTAATGATATTGAACAAACCCAATAAAGTAAAATAAAACCACACACTTTAAACATTGTCATTAGTGTATTAAATAAAGATGATGATCGACATGCATTATGATAATTTATTGTAATCTTTCGAGACATTGAATTTTTACTTTTTAATAATAAAATATAAAGAAAAAAGCCATTTGTACACAGGAATAGAAAAAGCAACCAAAACGTAGAAATAATGCCACAATGTAATCTACAATGAGAAACAGCTGGTTTTGATGGCAATATGTAATAGAATATTTGCATAGAGTCAATAGATAATTGAAGATATATATATATATATATATGTATATATATACAGAGTATTTCAAAAGTCCGAACGAAAGAAGAAAAGAAGGTGAATAGTTTCTCTGCAATTCAAAAGGATTTACATTTTTTTTTCAGATACGGTGTTTGTGTCTATAGAATTAAAATAGTGTTACTCATGGTTAAATTTGAATAAGTCATCATTGTAAAATAGTAGCTACAAAATAAATTGAAAAAAAATGCGTTAACTAAATATTACATTAAGAACATATTCCTGTGATTTTGTAAAACCAGTATTGTCGATAATCGATGACTGAAGAGTAATTACTGAAGAAAAAGCTGATGAAGACACAATTAAGTGTTCGATCTATGTAACTCTTGTTCGTAGAAGTACTTTGTATGGCTTTAATACAGTGGCGGGACCAGAACGAATTAAAGGCTCGTAAGAAGAAGCTGAGATTCCTTAGCCGAAAATCGTTGCTCCACCACTGCTTTAATAATTGGCTCATTTTCACAAGCATTCTTAACTTTTTTTTCAGTAGTTCCTCTAGATTTTTCCAGAACGTGATCAATTGTCGACCATATCATTTCACAAATCGCTAAAAGGTAGTTCTAATACAGGATTGAACTGGCATGTTTTTGCCAAATTAGGCTTGCAGCTTTCCGTTTATAATGGTAAATGACTCCAATTTGGCCATTATGTAAAATTATTTTTGATTTCTGAACACACACAGACATTTTATCTGAAATATATTGAATAAAAATCTAATAAACTTTTCTTTCGTTCGAACTTGTCAAACACGCTCTGTATGTATATAAGGTTCTTAAGAAAATATGTTTTCCTAGAAATATTTAGTATAGATGAGTCTCTTCAGTCATAACAGGTATTATCAGACATAGATGATTTTTTATGGATCCTCATTGTTTTCTTAGGACAGTTCAGATGACTTTGCTGTTTATCAATCGATTCTATATAGTATATTGAGAAATATTTTATCCTATAAAGGATGGCCCAGAAGTTCTGTCTCGTTTTGAATAATCAATTTTTCTTTTGTAAAATATGTAGTTGAAAATTTGTTTCTAGAGTGAAAAGATGCAGTAAAACACGCACTACAAAATGGCTTTTGATTGACCCTGCTAGCTCTTACAGTAAGAAAGTTATAAGATTTGCAATATATTTCAGAAAAAATAAAAAAATAACTGTGAACTTTTCAAGCTAAAAAGCGACAATAATGGACTGAATACGACTTGAATATTCAGTTCATTGACAAAATCACTTTAAAGTCATTATAAAATTAATCCTAGATTTCAAACACGTTGGATCAACGCTGAAAAGTAGAGTTTCGTAATTGCAACGAATTCAAAATGCTTTTTAGATCATGTACATTCCAATAAAATTCTTAAAAATGTTTCATAGATCTTCGATAAGCCTTTTGAAGGGTTTCGTAGAAATGTACATGATCTGAAAAGCATTTTGAATTCGTTGCAATTACGAAACTCTATTTTTCAGTGTAAATCCAACCTGTTTGAAATCTAGAATTAATTTTATAATGACTTTAAAGTGATTTTGCTAGTAAACTGAATATTCAAGTCGTATTCAGTCCATTATTTTCGTTTTTTAGCTTGAAAAAGTTCATGGTTATTTTGTATTTTTTCTGAAATATATTTCTAATCTTATAACTTCCTCACTATCAGAACTAGCAGGGTCAATCAAAAATCATTTTGTTGAGCGTGTTTTACTGCATCTTTTCACTCTAGAAACAAATTTTCAACTACATATTTTATAAAAGAAAAATGGATTATTCAAAACGAGACAGAACTACTGGGCCACCCTTTGTATAGTTAAATGTTTTTTCTGCTCTCGTTTTGATTTCGAGTTTATATTAAAAAGAAAGTTTTCCAAATCAAATATACAAATAAATGACGATATGAAAATTTCTAGACAAAATATTTGACTATTTTCACGTATTTTAATGTATTGGAAAAGAATGGAAAGTAGTGTATTAGAGTCAGAGTTTTGTGCTCTTGCAGAATATATGTTTAGAATTTTTCTGTGACCTTAGAGTAGAAATCGCCCTCAAGTACTATATGTGTACAGAACTTATTTGATGTTTACAGGAAGCAAACTTGTCTTCAGAAATTTCTTTTTCATTTTTGTCAAGATTTATTTATAGCTTAATAGTAAAAAGTCACAGAACAATTCTAAGCATATATTCTGAAAGGACACAAAATCTGAATGTAATATACTATTTCTCACATTTTTTCAACTCATTTAAATACGTGAAATATAATCAAACCTTTTGTCTAGAAACTTTCAATCCACACCTTATTTTGTATAAAGTATCTAAAATAAATTAGTTCTTCTGTAACATGCATTTCTTTATAAAAATCAAATAATTAATCTTGTCTTTATATTGACCAAATGCTGTTTCATTTAGGGAACATCACTTTTATATTTAGAATAAGGAACTAGAAACTAAGAGGATAATTCCTAAAACTTAAAAGCAGTAACTGTTGAAAATTCTTTTTTTTTCGGGATTTTACTATCAATTTCAATATTCATTTACGTGTCAATAGAAAGAAATAAGACTACTATACAGGGGTACCGAATAAACGGTTAAATCGCTTTTTTTGACCGCAATGATGTTTATTTGATAATGCTTGTGAGTAATGGAAAACTCGAGGGTGATTGGCTTTCCAGACCTTCGCTCTTCAGATATCGAAATTTTACTGAGTTTGCTGTCTCCCTCAGGTCATGTGCAAAATCTAGTTAGGACTTCGAACTTTGTACGAACAAATTTCTTACTGAGATTAGTTAATTGTGCAACTAGTATTTCCTTTCTGAAGATATAAATATTTGAAAAAAATTTCAAATACTGAACATTTCAGGATAGGAAATACTAGGAAAGTTACAACTTGCTCGATGATCTAATCTTATTGAGAACTTTGCTCGTGCTAAGTGGAAAGTGGAAAGTCGATTGTTCACATGGCTACAAGTTTTTATTGAAAAATCCAATAAAATTTCGATGTCTTAAGAACGAAGACTTTGGAAAACCAAACCACAGTAGACTTTTCTATTACTCACCAAATACTCACAAAATAAACTTTGTTTCGGTCGAATAGCATTTTGATACTTAGGCAGGTCTGCTCGTCAATAATTTCTGTTTTCGCCTCATCTGTTAGACCCGAAAAAAAATACACGTGGCAAAATACTATCTACTTCAATGAACAAAAACAGGATGAAAAGAAAAAAAAAACAGGATGAAAAGGAAAAAAAACAGGATGAAAAGAAAAAAATACTGAAACCTAGCAGTTGTAAAAATACCTTCATTTGTTAGGCTAAGAACAGAACTCAATTTTGTAAGAAAATACCCATATACCGTACATTTCTATCCCATCCCGGGAAATAAAATCTTCACAGATTTATTTTATTTCTATAAATATATATATATATATATATATACAATCATTAAACATTCATATTTCTTCTTTTGTTTATTTCTCATTATCTTATTATATAAAAAAAAACAAGACACAAACATAATATTATATATGTATATGAGCACAAATAATGAAATGGACAAAAAATAAAGAGTAACGAGATAAACATTTCATTTTGTGGCCTATTGTTCTTTTCAAGTACAAACATGAACGGTTGGAGAAGAAAAAACTGAATGTCGAAATCTAAATAAGAAGCGTGACAAACTAAAAACCAAAAACAAAACAAGAGAATATATAGCACCAGTAAGCAAGCATAATAATCGAATACAAGCGATCAAGATCAAAAAGAAAAGAGAAAAAAAGAAAACTGTCAAAAAAAAAGATTAAGAAAAATTTAATATTGCATTAAATCATAATCAATTGATTAAAGGTGAGAAAAGTTTTGCACGTAAAAAATAGATCAGACCAATAGAGAAAAATTAAAAGCAATAGGAAATTTTTGGAATGTACAATTCAACAGAATAGATTCACTTGATCAATTATTCGACGATACGTACGCGGTGTATAAGGTGGAGCTTGTGATGATGCTAAAGAAAAACAAGATACTTATTCAGTAAAAAAAAAACGATAATTCAAAGTCTGATTTGATTAAGAAAAGCGCAAAAACAGAGCACACTGTGATAAGTGTAAGCATTTAAACAAAATTATTCAGACACAATCTTACTTGACAATGTCAAAAATAAACTTTTATTTTAAACATCTGGAAGTTTAATTCGATAAGACAAGAAAAAAAAATAGAAGATTTTCTAATAGTTATTTACTTGTTGTTGTATGTGGTGATAGTGTCGGCTTTTTATCATTAGATGACATAAGAGGATTTGTTGTTGTTAACATACGTGCTCGTTCTTTTACCGATAATCCTAAGAGAAACAACAAAATTGAAATTAAAATTATTTCATTAAAAATAAAATACATACGTTTATACTGTTCATCATGATTATCAGTGTTAGATGTTAATAAAGAAGCTGCTGTTGACTCAACAGTAGTAGCAGACATAACGTCTGATGTAGTAGTATTGTCTGTTGAGGGAGAGAGAACTACAAGAGAGATTGAAGTATTATAAACCGATTATTTTTCGTTTTTTGAAAAAAATTCTTCTAAGGAATTTACAAATCAAAAACTTCTAGCGTCATGATACAGGGATTAAAATGGAAAATCAAAGAATTCTACAATACATACTTCTGTTTGTGGCTTTCAACATACTTCTGATTTGCCCGCGACGAAAGATGTTATTGTTAATATGTTACAGTGAGTACAAAAAGAGTAGCGAAGGTAGGGATCTTAAATTCAATCTTTTTTCATGATAGTATTACAGAAAGTTTTAGTCCCGTAGCTTCGTCTGTGATGAGTCATTGCTAAGATGTCGGTCATGTCTGCTAGGAAGAATAGCCTTGCCTTTCGGCTACCCTGTGACATTGTGCCTGAGGCACAGTTTTTCGAACTCCTCATGCACATTAACTATTTTGCCCAGGGTTATTGCATGATTGGTAGTACTAAGCTTTGAACACAGTCTCTTGTACATACGTGTCGAACAACACAGTTACTCAATCATGGGGACTCACCTCTACAGAGAAGAAGGAGGTGTAGAAGTGTAACAAACATAACGCCTTAGGATTTTGTATTATGTGGATTTGAATTTGGTCTTGAACAAAAATACTATAAATAGTTTATGTTATGTTTTGACCACGGCCATCAAACTGCAAACTATTGATTTTTATTCAGTCCAAAAGGTAATCTATGCTCAAAACTCAAATCAAAATCTATTCTAGATTTGTTGCACTCCTAGAATGACAATCGAAATTTCATAAAAACTCGAGTACTCATTAGAAAATCGCCAGATTAAACAGAGACTATTTTAGAACACATTAGAAACTGTATAATTGTGTTTTTCTCGTTCCTTAATGAAATGAAAAGTTTAACTAAAATAAACAATCATTTAAAGCTTGAATTACTGACTCTTGATCAAGTATAATTTTTGAAAAATCTAAGTTCTTTTTCTAACTTAAGATGCACATGATTTGATATATATATATTTATTTTTCTCTACCTTTTTTCTCTGGTTGAAAATGTCTTAATTTGACTGGTGGTGCATCTCCATTTGGATCAAGAACAGGAAGTACTCGAGTACCAATAGCTACTTTGCCTGCTCGAGCTAATACTGGTGGTATTGATGATATAATAGATTCTGTTGAATTATTCATATCTTTTTGTTCATTAGGATTTGATGATATTAATGATGAATATAAGCTTGTTGACATAGAAGGTTTTGTTTGAAATGATTCATTTATTAAATCAGAATTAATTATTTGTGATGAATCATTATTTGTCAATGTCATTGATTTAGACATAGAATTTGCTGTTGTTGTTGTTGTTGTTGTTGAAGGACGTGATAATTGTAAGGGTAATTGTTGAAGGGTTTTATGTATTGTTGTTGATTCATCAATAGAAGTTTTTGGAGTTTTTAATGCTGATTTAAGAAATTTTGTAACTGTCCTATATAATGGAAACAAAAATGATTCATAAAAATAAAACGAGAAAAAAGCCCAATGGTCTATCCATGCAACAGGCTAGTTTTGTCGTCTCCAAATCTCATCAAGTCACACGATAAATTCATGCATTTTCTTTACAAACTTTTTTATTTTGCTTTGTTTTCTAAGATACATGAAAATTTTTTATTTTTATTTTTGCGAAAGTTCAAAAAGTAACAAAACAATGAAATAATAATTCATTGAAAGAAAAAACTTGACTTACGTCGATGGTAATTCATTAGTTTGTGGTTCAACAGATAATGATGAATTAATTTGTATTTCACTAGTTGATTTCGGAAGTATATCCTCAGTACTATTATCATCATTATCATCTGTTAAAAGACCACCATCTGATGAACTATCATTTGTAGACATATTTGTTGATCGTTTTATTGGTAATCGAACATTTGCACGACGAGGACGATCTTTACCTATATAAAAAAAAAACTGTTAATTCAATCTTTGCGGAATAAAAATATGAAACATGATATAGCTGATGTAGTTAATCACAGAAAGATTTTTCTTTTATTCTATCGATTTTGGAATATGTTTCTTTATCATTCTCTCCAGAAATGTAATAGGGAAGTAATTTAATACAGTGGGTATCAATGTCACATTTTTTAGAGAACTTTTTATTCTATTGTCCTATGTAATCTAGACAAAATATATATTTAAGCATTGTAGGTACTGAAAAACTAGCGTTTTGATTTCTGGAATCCCTATTTTTGGAAATCTGATCAGAATTTTCATATCATTATATTCTTAGTGGAAACTATTTTCTCTATTAGAATCATTATTTGGATCCGTTCCAGCGCTTACGGCAGCGCAAAAACAAAACTGAAAATATAGCTTGTTTCACAAAATAGTTCAGTTGACTATAAACAATGAATATTTGTTTTTTTTTCTGTTTGCTTATTATTACCTGGATGGGCTAATTTCATAGTTGGTTCAATATCAACATCAAGATTATTATCTTTGATAGTAGCTGAAATTGCAGTTCGTTTTTTAATAGGTAATGCAGGTGGTGTATTTCGTTGCTGTTCTTTTTGTTTTTCTTGTTCAACTAAATCAAGTAAATCATGTTCAATAAGATCACCTTCATCTTCCAATGATAATTCTTTTTTAGCAGTTTGTTGTGAAATTTGTACATTTCCATAAATAGGATCAGTAAGAATCAAACTAGATTCTTGTTCATTAGTATTAACTAATAAAGATTTACGCCAAGCAGAAGTTCCCGGTTTTGGTGATATTGGTATTGATCCTTTATTTTGTATAGTTGTTGTTAATAAACGATTATCTTTATCATTTATTAAACGATTTGTTGATTGAATAGATTTTGGTGAAGAATCTAAAAATAAATTTTAAATTAAATGAAGTTTTTTTGTCAAATTAAAAAATACAATTACCTATAATACATTCATTTGAATCAGCTTTTTTTAATGTTCGATTATTATTTAATATTTCATCATTTATTTCTATTTGTGTTTGATTATATCGATGTGTTAAACGATGAGCAGAGTTATCTTTACGACCAAGGTTACGATCAAGAGCTAAAATTATAGTTAAGATATTGAATAGAAATAATAAATAACATACTTGATGATGTTGAATTTTGTCCATTCAATATCATTGATCCTTGTTGAGGATTATTTGTTTGAAACATAGTAGCTTCCTAAATAGTTATTTTAGACTAGTCATTAAGTTTAATGATTAATCAAAAGAAATACAAAAAAAAACCTACAAAAGTAGAGTTTTCATATTGTTATTAAAATATTGAAAAACAAAATGTTTTATTTATTGGCAAACATACAAACTCCACCCATTATTTCTTTGTAATAGACTTTTTATTTCCAAAACATCGTTATCTTAGGAATGAGTGCAAGGTGTTGACGTTGATTATATATTTTTCGTTATGTTGTTTATTATTGTTACGATTAAGCATGCAACAGTGATGATCAATCACCAATTCACCAGTACAAATCGCTAATTAATTTAACGATAAAAATGATGAATATCTCAAACTTTCTTGTGATAGTCTTGAAAAGACTAATCACTATTTATGGTAATCTTCACTAATCAAGTATTCTTGAGAGTCAAGAAGTAATGGTAGAACTACAGTTGTAAACAATGCATAGATTATTTCAAACTTAAATTGTAATATACTTCGTCAGACAAACTACTAATAATAATCAAAAACATTCTTGACTAAATATCAGTGTTATCTATACAATAGAAATGGAATAATTGATAATCTCTGAGCATTTATTATGCGACACTGCTTTTTTTTTTTCGACATAAATTTCTACATATGAGCAACACTGTTCGTGAGCGATGTGACTTCGCAAAATAAGAAACACGTGTATCTCGGAATAATGAACTTTCATAGAACTAATTTCATATATTACATGCACGTTAGGTTTAATTCATATATTCTAATGAGATATTAGTAATATACGGTCTGTGAAGACCGTCGGTCAGAGTCTAGAGGAGAAGGAATTGCAAATTTCTACCCTATATACACTTTAACACTCCTTTTAGATTGTGTTTCAGAAAATCAAAGTCAAATAAAAGGTGGGTGTATGCCTTATTTTGCCCGAAAAAATCTAATAAATACATGAAAGTTGATTTAATTATTTTCTTTATCTTACCATTTGTTTATGCAAATCTGATGCGATATCATTGATTGTATCGTAAGCTCGTTTTTGTAGGCATGTTGCTACATTAATATAACATTGACGTGAATATGTTATTAATCTATTTGGTAGTTCAGTACGTAATAATTGTTCAACATTATCATTTGAATTTGAAAAAAAAGTTCGAATTTGTTCTTGAAATTTCTAAATTAATTAAAACGAAGCAAAATTTTGAAAAAAAAATGGTTTTTTTCCTTTTTTTTTTATATTTACATCATCATAATTAATTGTTGTTTGTTCTTTAAATAATTGATAAAATTTTCTTGATAAACGTTCATTTTTTTCAATAAATTTTTCTTGAAATTTTTTACACATATCATTCCATTCTTGTTTTAAACGTTCTTCTTCATCAATATATGATTCATATAATTGAGTTGAAATCTATAATTAAATATGTTTTTATTATCTGTGTTTAATTAAAACAAAATATACTTTATTTATATTTGCTGTTCGTGTTAAAATTGAATTTAAATCATTATTATCATTAGTACTATTATTATTTATTCTATTTGAACACGATAAGGCATAATCAAGTGATGCTTGATCACCAACTAATTGTTGTTGATTTTCCCATGATAAATTTATTTCTCGAGATAAATTAGCTGTAGTTGTTAGAAGTAAAGAATCATTTGAAGTAAAATTATGTTTTTGTTGTTGATTTCTTGTACATATTGAATCAAGCTAATGATTTATTAAGTTGATACATATGAGGAAAACAAAAAGAAAATTTTTCTTACTTTATTCATTAATATTTGAATTTTTTCCATCCGATCTTTTTCGGTTATCTTCATTAGAATTATATCAGTTATAGGAATAGGTAAATATTGAATTGTATAATTTCTAAAAATTTAATTTAATTTATATAATCGCATTCAAAATTGATCATATACGTAAACTTTACAACAAAAAGTAAATCATGCGTTTGTTGTATATTTTGAAATCATAGAATGCAAAGTCCTTGTTGATTATGAGATTTAGATAAATTTTTCTGTTAGAACTAGTGTTTTTTTCAGTCTGGAGGCGGCGCTCGTTTAAAGATTGGTTTGACTCTTGTGGAATCTCTAGCAATTGTATCGTGTACTGTGTATCTAAGTGGCGGATTGAGAGAAACTGTGATCTTTATATCGCTTCCTTGGAAGAGAAAATCTAGATAAAATAGTCTATTGGAAATAAGCTATACCTCAATATAATAAACCTCTGTTGAAATATTTGAAAAAAAGTCATCTACTGTGTTTATGATCAATTTTGAGAGGTACTATATATATAGTGCATGGGAGTATCTGTTGTTTTTTTTCCTATTTATTGAATGTCATAAACTATGTTGAATAGTTTAAAATGTATCATGAACTAGCGAGATAAGCTATACAAATATTATCATCTGTCAGCATTTTCTCCATTGAAGCTATAAATTTTACAAGATAAATCAAAAAAATGAAATGATTGGTTATTTTAAAACAATCGGTAGATATAACTTAGCATCGAATAGGAAGTTTTGTTTGAATAGAGATAGATTGTAAAACTTAATTTTGATTCTGAAATTAAAAACTCCTTCAGCAATAGAAGACCGTTCTTGGAGGAGCGATGCATCGGACGTAATAGAAAACACTATTTACTTTATTAATTTCTTGCAAAATCGGATATTCAATTAAAATATTTTTGAATTTTTAACACTCTGCTAATCTCTTTCCAAATCCTCAAAAGCACTTTGGCTTTTTGATAAAATCTTTTTAATTATAAAACTATAAAAATGACTAGAATACAATAAAATATCCAGAATCTCCTACTTGCAGGAAGAAATTAACTTGTACTAATTAAAAATAAAATTGTAGAGATTATTAAATTCATATACTTACTCTTCCATTGCGTTAACAATATCTTCAAAACTATTTAATGAAAGAAGATTTCGATCAAAAAATATTGTATGTAAATGACAATTCGTTTGTAATATATGAGTTATAATACGAGCACCTGCATCACCCATTAAATTTCCTCTATTAGTCAATATTTTAAATTAAAATATTAAATTAAACTCTTGAAAATTTTTTTACCGAATATCAAGTATTTTTAAAGATGCATTATAAGTTAATGCCGTAAGAAAATCGATTGTATTTTCTTTTAATTTCGAATCAGCTATTGATAAATATTCAAGATCCTAGAAATAAATATTATGAAATGAAGAAATATTTAATTTATTATTTTCATACACTGTCTAAGACAAGATCTTTCATTGCACTTATTGTTCGTTGCATATTTCTATAAAGTTTAAAAGTTAAGATAATAAAAAAAAATGAGAACAGAATTTACTTTTGTTTTATATTATTAAAATTTTTGCCTAAATGAAGTGATTTTAATTTTCGATTTTTCTTTAATTCGCCTAATAGAGTTGGAATTTCATTATCCAAATCTAAATCAAATGCAAAAACAGAATATTATATAATGTTCTTTTTTTTAAATTAATCTTTAGGATGCATAAATAGCCGCTATCTCCAACATCTTTCTAAAGATGTATTTAAATCTTGCTAACATGAAAAAATTGATTTTGGACCAGGTACATTCAAATCGCGGGAGCCGGGCATTAGCTCGATAGGATAGAGTGTGGACATAAGTGTTAGAAAGTCGCACCATAATGTGTTCTGGAGATATTCAACAAATAAAGGTCAACAACAGCTGAAGTATCTGTCAAAATTTTTTATTTATCTTTTATTTTTTATGCGAAGAAAAAGGATGAGAAGTTCAATATCTCAAAAGACTTTCTTCAAAAGTGATCATGCATTCATAGAAGTGCTTTTTTATATAATAATAAAAAGGCTTTATTTTAAAAAAAAGAGCTCTATCGTTTCACATGCTCTTTCAAACAAGGAAAAAAAGCGATTAAGCTACAAAGAGGTTCCTTCGAGAATGTTGATGTGTGATCAACAAAAAAAAAAAATATAAAGGGAGAAAGCGTAAAAAAGATTTCCGAGTTTTTCTGAAAACAAAGCATATTTTCCAAGCAAAAAGTGACGGAAATATTTGGAAAAATCGAGTTGACAAAATAAAAATATCATATTGTTCGTGAAAGATCCGATCTCAACCTATTCACCCATACATTTATCTTAGTGTCAATAATTCTAACGGAAATAGACTTTTTCAAAGTGTGATGCAGGTCTAGGATGAAACACAGACTAGACATATATGTGTTGAAAAATATGATAATATCAAACCAGATGATGCCATATTAAGACTGTATACACATAGAAAGCTGCTCGACCAATATCTTGATATGAAATTATTTGTCTTCTAAGTAATACTTTTCAAAAAAAAAAAAGTCTCTTCTTACCACATCCAGTAAGATCTAATGCCGTTAAACTTGGTATAGTCGCTAATCTAGCTGCATATTCATGAACAAATGTTTCAAGTTGATTACCAGAAAGACGTAAATCAAGTGTACTTAAATGAACATTCGAATGAAGTCCATCACATAATTCTCTACAATTAAAGAAATAACTGAATATTTGAATCTAAAAATTAATCATTTTTGTACTTAAGAAACTCATTCGATAAATTTGCATTAGATATTTGTACAATTTCTAATGATTGATTTTTTGTAAAAAATAATTTTACACCACCGATTGTCGATGGTGGAACACATGATTTTATAGATGATATAAATAAACGACGAAGTTTACATGAATCTGTAGCTAATGAATAAAAAAGCTAAAGAAAAAAGCCAGTGTTATACAAAAGAAAAAAGACAAATAGATATTTCTTTACCGATTCTAGACTAAATTCAATGTCACTTAAATGTAATTCTTCTAATATATTTTCATTATTTTGAAATAAAATTGTTATACACTAAAGAAAAACAAATCAATCCTCTTCTAGATATCTTAACTAAAGATATGCGAGATCACAGAAAAAAGAATTTGCCGAGAATCAGAAAAAACTTAAATCACTCAAATGAGAACAAAAAAAAAAAAACTTGATCCCACACATCTCTATTATAAACATACATTTTCTTCCTTAATACGATTTCCTGATAGATTAAGAATTTGAACGGTTCGTAATAAATTATTATTATTTATTAATGTTGTATTAAATACATGTAAGCTTTTATGTGTTAATGAGCATGATTGCAAATTGATTGATACAAGAGGTAATTTACGTTGTTGTAATGATGAACTTAATGCAATTAAACCTGTAGATAAAAAATTTGAGTTTTTTTTTAAATAGAAATCTAATAAATCCAACCTTTATCTTCAAGTGCATTATTTGATAAATCAAGTTTTTCAATATGGCTAACAGGTAATGAATGAGCAAAACGTGTACAAAAATCACTAAAATTTTCAAATATATATGCTTTCATTAATCAAATCAAATTCATACTGTCTAAGACCACAATTAATTAAACGTAAAACTTGTATTGCTTTACATAAACGAACAACTGTACAAAGTTCATCGATATTTTCTGATGTCTAAAAATACATAACAACAAAAAAAAATATTAGACAAAAAAATATATTTCATAAACGAACTAATTTTATATTTTCAATTGTTATTTTTGTAAACCATTCATTATGACGTAAAGCACCAAGAATCGGTAACCAATCTTTTTGAGTAAGTGATTCCAGTTCTCGAAATGTGAATTCACGTGATATTCGATGAGCAAATACAGTATCAATAAGCTAAATAAAAAGATTCTAATTTACCTCACAAAAAAAAAAAAAAAAAAAAAAAAGCAAAAAGAAAAACAACCATCTATTGAAACGTTAAAGCATACTGTCTATTAAAGATATAGCACCATAACAAGAACTCTTATTTAAAAACAGTTGATTTGGTTTAACTCATACATATATTAATATAAATGGTTAGTCCTTTTAGAATTGAATTAAAAGATTGGCATTTCATACAGACAAAAATTGGTAAGTGTTACTGGATGTGAGATTTAAACACGAGTAAAAAGATAATTTTCATATTAAAAAAAAAAATAAGACTCAGCGAATATAATAGAAAGGCGTCAGATCAACAGAGAAGCTGATTACCTGTTTATTACTTTATATGAACATCCCATAGACATTGCAATATCAGAAAAGTATAGCTCTTGAATATAAAAACTCAAATATATACTTATCCCTTATTTAACAATAGTTTGATTAGTATATGTACCTTCTAATTTGAATGTTTTAATCGAACTAAATTGACTATTAATATTTTATACCCCTCTGTTAGTTACTCGAGTGATCATTTGTAAAATGATTGCAGAAAAAAAAAGCATGGGATTTGAAAAATTCTTTACCTACATTCAATAGACATCTATCAAAATCTTTATATCATCTAAATTGATAAAAAAGCCTGCTAATGAACTAGATATAGTTCGAAAGTTTCACGATAACTCGGCGAAGTAATCATGAACAAAGTTAATATATCTATTATTAACCTTAACTCACGCATTGGATCAATCGAACGATTCTACATAAAGATATGGATGCTCTGTGAATCAGACCACGTCATTAGCATATTAGACTGAGTAATTATTAGTAATTCAACTATTTTTAAATTATTTAAAATAATTCTTTGTTAGTTTTAAGGTTGGAAGCAGAGAAAATTTCTCATGAATCGAGAAGGAACTGAGTCTCCGTTTAAAGCTAAAATAGGATATTCTCGTCCAATATGTTAGTTATAGATCGTGCTAATACAAGGGAAGCTCACACGTTTGTGTAAGACGCTCAGCCATTTATTAATTGTTTTTAAATAATCTTACAATAGTCGTTTCATAGACTCGTAAAACCTATATTCTTTATCATATGATAGCACTCAGTGTTTGGTCCAGATTTTCGCTTCCAGAGAAGTGCGATGCCGCCTCCTCAGCCCCATACTGGCTAAGATACTAATAGAACTATATATGACGGTTGATCTGAAAGCTTCTAAACAAAATGTTTGTTCATTTTTCGCCAACTAAAAAGGATCAAAAGTTGTGAAGTAGGATGCTCTTTTAGAATATGGGCTTAGTAACTTTGTTCGAGAGTAGTAAAATGATTTTTTGTAAAGCCTGAAAAAATTAGTTTAGACGGAAATTTTTTGTATTATCACTATTTCGATTTGAAACTAAAAGTTGGAATCTCTCTTTATATATCAGCAGCTACCCGATAAAATGCAAAATTTTTTGTCTTTCGACAGAGCACTTCAATTTTCGTTTTTCCTACATACTCTTTTCTAAACAATCGACAACCATTTTCACTTGGGTCAAAGTTACAGCTTAGTTTAGTATCACATTTTGTAGAGAAGTATCCGCTCTTCCAAATGGCTTATTCTGACAACTTTTAGTCTGTTTGAAAAAGCAATTATAAGATAAACAAAAATAGGCACAACATTTCTAGGCTTATATTCAAATTCAGATCATAACTCAGAGCTTTTGATACTTTCTAGCGGATTAGGAGTGACCAAACACCGCCTTGTAGGTTCGTGTGAAATTCCCATTATGAAAATTATTTTTTCTTTGAAAGAATGTTTCAAATTCATAAGTTCGAATAATTTGAATAATTAACTCATTAAAAATATGTTTAACTTACATTTTGCACTGCTCTGTTACATGGTATTTGATAAAAGTCACAAGCACATTCATAACGTAAAGAAAATCCTCCACATGGACGTGATTCACTAGACATTATGTTTGTATCTTGATAATATTCATTTGATAAACGCAATAATTTATCATATTCATTCTCCGGTCGAATTTCCACACTAAATAAAAAAAACATGAAATATTATTATTATCATTTTTAATATGAATATTTACATCGCCTGTAATCTATGAGGAAAAACAGCATGTAAATTTCTTATAAGTACAAAGAGAAATGATTGTAATGATGATTTATCATGAAGACCATATAATGTATGTGCTTGTTTTTCATCAGTTTCTATCAAAACCTATTATTAAAAATGAATAAAAATTAAAAAATGCATTCTAGAAATCAAATTTCATTTTACATGAGAATCTGATACTCGTTCAATTAATTTAATTGAAAGAATATTAAATTGTGATTCGATCTGAATAGAAAAGAAAAAAGGAATTGGTTTTCTTTTGATTAATAAATAAAATCTAAATCATACTTTTACAGGAATTTTAATCGAACAAACATATACTCGAACGGCGTCCATACACTAAGAAAACATATAAAGAGTATAAAATTATTTATTTGTTTTTCTTTTACCAAGAGTCGTTCTTCAACCTTTTCACCTTTCGTTCCATAACGGATACGACCATTAAAATAAAATGACGAACATTTAATTACACTTCGAGCACTGCCTAAAAATGCACCGAAACATCGATGATAGTAATTAAAAAATATAAATAGATAATTTATCGTTCTTTACCGATCAATTCAGCAAAATCGTCTCGATCATTCATCTAAAAATAAAGTAATCATTTATGAGTAAAAAGCTTTAACAAAAAAGAAAAATGTAATCTGACATACACAAGCAACTTTACACCACATTGAAAAATAACATTCATGACATTTGAAGAATTAAGGGTCGTACGAAGGAAATAAACATCTTAAATAATCAAAAAAATATATATGAAAACTGAAAATATACTTGATGTACCAAATCGATAAAGTATTGATAATAATATAGATAAGTAAATAATTCAATCAACACAACATCGAAACATGTGAGATACGAATCATGAGACAAACAAGCAAAATAAAAAAAAAACATATGGGCAAAATGATGAGTCATCAAACCACATCCATGAGATTTTGCATAATAGCGACATCTTTATTTAGGCAAAAAAAATTTAAGTCGTTTGACATTAATTTATTTTTTCATGTTAATCAAAACATATTTTAATATAGTTTTAACTAAAATTATCACGTATGTTAACATGAACGAACAGCATACTTTCCTATCTTGGAGTCGTTTCAAGACCTTCAGAAATACTATTTGCCTTAGACACACGTGCAGTTTAAGCACACTATCACATTGAATTATCGTACCAAGCACATCAATCATAGTGAGGGTGAAGGGGAGTGTCCTTAAACTGTACTTGTACCCTTACTGTTCAAGTTCAATTTATCTAATTTTTCTTTATGAATATGAAGAATAATGATACGATTTAAATGTTGTGACAATCTTGATCGTATGTGTGTCTTTATTCGATTGAAAACACTGTAAGATCTTTTCACAATAACTTTTGTTACGAGAGTTGTCAAATATAAATGTAATACTGTACTCGTTTCAGAGAACAGTTCCCTCAACAGATTGTACATTGAATATATCACAAATAGTTTCAGTTTTTGAAATTCTCTTTATATGAAAATTAATTTTTACGTTAACAATTGAAAAACGATCAGCTAATATGTGCGTCGGTTCTTGTAAACAGAGAATATTAATATCAGCAGTTAAATTAATTAATGATATGCGTGAATTAACTGCATGATTCTTAACGACTACATACATATTTCTATTTTGAAACAGATATGATTTGACAGTGGATAACTTACATTTCGTCTTCCAAAAGATTACTATTCGTTTATTATTTCGTATAATTTTTTATAAAACCGAAGCCGAGAAAAAGTTTCATGATCCATCAAGACACAAGGCTGCTATAAACGACTTGAATGGGTTGATTGTTCTTCTCTATCAACCAGTCACTAGTAGTGCTAGACCAAGATGTTTCAAGAAAATAAGTGGTCGATATACATTATCTAACGTCTGATTGAATATGCCCTTCAGAAGAACACAAGATAGTTCTTGTGCCAAGAATTCTTGCTAACAATATAAAAACTTATAATGGTGTCTGTGAAATATTTTCAAATATTTGAGCCCCTCGGCTACTTGATAGTTTTCACCCAAAATATTGGTCTATCAAAAACTATAGTTTTTTAATCATTTTTGTGTGAATTTTTTCCTCACAAAAATTTTGATCGAAACAATTATCAAATTATACCAATCGATAGAGTGGAAGTTGCTCTACAAAACTCTATATTTTATGCGTCTCGTTATATACCTCTTAAACCAGAAAAATCCATTATAATAGGTAAAATCAACAATTTTTGGCCTATTTCACATATTTTGTTTTACCTTTTCTACTGCTGTTGTTATACAGCTAACTTTTAAGAATCTAAAGTAAATTTTATATCGTTTTTTAGAGCGTCAAAAGATGCATCTTTTTGTAAAAAAAATTTACCTATAAAGTACTATAGTAGGTGAGGATGGTAATATGATTTTTATGACATCTAGTTTTTACAGATTGATTATGGAACTTGTGACTTTCTTTGTTTGACTTGACAATAAATCACGACTTTGTTTTTGACAAATCAACAGTCGACAAGATCAGATACCGTTGAAAAATAGAACTTTTGAATCGTACATAGCATTTAAATCATTTATCAACAGATAGATTGGGATATCTGCCACGTAGAACAATGCCGAGCACTTTTTGTTAAACAGAGAAAAGGGAAAATAGAATTTATGGTGAATGGTTTTAAAGTAGAAGACAATGAATATGATTTCTTTGATGCGATGATTGCGTCAAGTAGCAACAGCCAATTTTTCTACCATGAAAAAGCTGAAATGATTCTCTCAATTGTATGTGCTCTGTACGCATCCAAATCCTACTCTAATTGTGCTTGTCGAATCTGCAGTTAAGATATTCGGCAAGTGTGTTTTATCAGGCTTATTTGGGCAAGGGATACTTTTCTCGTTTCTCTGTTATCTGTTCTCTTCTTTTTTTATCATGTCTACTTTTTTTTGTGATACCATCGTATGGCATGCACCATCAACAACGATTCATCATCAATTGCCTATCGTCCTATCGAAAACAATGAACATCAGTAAGCATTCAGTTTGTGGTATACTGTGTTTAAAACAGTTCTATCAAAGTTTTTCAAACGTTATTTCACGGCAGAAGCATTGGCACGATACCAGACAGATGACGCGTTAGGTGCATGGCACGATGGTAAACTAATCAGTCGATACATATCCGACAATTCACATTTCGATTACGTAATGACGATCAAGAGTATTGGTACGCTGGTACTTCGACTATAGCAACTTTTGAGGAGTATCGAAGGAGAGGTTACTTAAGGCATTTTCGTCAAATGGTTCTAAACAAGATGAAAAATGAACACGAGTTTGACATGGCTTTGCTGGACACTAGAGTTACCAGTCACTACTCTGTTCTTAGATGGAAGCAAGTCACTGTCCCTGCTCTAGTGTGTATCGAATGAAAAGACTTCAGTCATGACAATTACAATGTCGAATGGCAATCAGTATCTGATGTACTGCTGTCAGATGGACAACTTCTATTGGAAATTCACTCAAACAAGCCTCGTACGTATCAGTTGGATCGTTCGCCATTGTCAATGTTCCAATATTGGTCTGGGTATTACTGGTGGAATGATGAAGTCATCATATGTGTATTCAGTGGTGAAGAAAAAGGTTATCTAGTGATAAAAAAAACGAATAATCCGAAAGACGTCTGTGTATCCGAATGGTGAGCGCCGAACATCGGTGTTGAAAAGAAACTATTGAAATTGACAGCTATCGAGATTCGATGACGACAACTGGAGACAAGAGTTATACGCTTTCAAGGTGACCCACAACATATACGTTTGAATGCGTTGAGAGATAGGGTTGGTAGGGTGAATATCGAGATAAATCCGGAAATGATGCACCGTAATCTCCGACTATCAAACGAAACTTTTAAAGACATGAAGGCCTCTTTCCATTTTGGAGAAGAGACTTGGTGGCAGGCTGACCATTTTTGAAAAGAATGTCGGAGATTCCGCGATAATTACTTTTTTACCTTGTCAGCGGATGAATACATAGCAGAAGGTCAATGAAAATTCCTCTACTAGATTCCAAGTATTATGCTAAAGGATGTAGATGCGAGGTGTGAGTACCAGTGTGAATATGAGGTTTCTATGAAAATGTGGATGTGAATGTGGGTATGGGTGTTTCTTTTCTTTTCTTTTTATCCACACCCATCCACATCCTTTGACGATAGTCTGTGCTTTCATAAAGGGTCTTCTCCTAACGGGATACGAAATAGATTTTTTCGTTTAGTAACGAACTGCTATAATTCATGGCTCATATCTCGATAAGTGTTTGATATGATTCATCAACATAAAATATAATTATAAGATCTAATCCTCAATGTTATTCAGAATAAATTGAAAAAGCTTGAAGTCTAATTTGTATAATTTAAAAAACATGAGGAAAGAAATGGTTCGTACAATTAAACAAAACAAATAATTTATTGGAAAAAAAATTGTCAAGCGTCCAAATCACTTTAAATCAGAGGATCACCTTTTTTTTATCATTTTTTTCATTTACAGTGGCAAACATTCTGAATTACACACATATACGAAAACAATGATAGAAATATAATTATCTTTAGGTAAAAAATTTATTATTAATAAAAACTATTATACAAATTTTGTGTTTCACTCATAGAAAAAGATTTATAAGACTAAAAATGCCGATTATTTGTTCATTTATTCGATATATCTTGCTGTTCAATGATTATTTTCAAGAAATAGTCAAATGAAATATAAAAACAGCTAAATGAAAAAAACAGCAGGGTTCATATGAGCTTTAATCAAACCATTACTATTAATGACGTCAATCAGAGTGTGAGTGAGGGCGAGAGTATATTTGAACTGCACATGTAACCTATTGCGAAACAAGAAGCATAAATGTTCATCTATCAATTCATTGGATTGTTCATCGGCGCTATATTTTTCCAGTGGAGTCATCTATTCATTTTATTCAATGACGGCAATGGTTAGAAAAAAGCTTATATGCATATTAAAAAAAGCATTAGTCAAAATTAACATGAATCGGTCAAATGACAGTTTTCTTGATCTACCTAATGAAATATTATTTAATATTTTAAAGAGACTTGATAATATGGATGTTCTCTATTCATTATTTAATGTTGATAATCAACAACCTGATATGATAGTACAAGAAAAATATTTGCTAAGAGTCTCAATTTTGTATTAACAACTTCAGGTAATGATATATTGTCGATTGCTAATTCCATACTTGATCGATTCTGTATAAATATATTGCCAAGAATTGATTTTAACATTAAATCTCTTATTCTTGAGTCAAAATCTATGAAACGTATTCTTCTTACTGCCGATGATCCTTATCTAACTGAACTTAATTCTAGTACTCTCAAGCCTGTTTTTAGCGACAATAAATAGAATGCATTATGAAAATGGTAATTTTTTCCACTGTTCAACAAGTATCTGGCAGTGGCGGATCTAGGATTTTGGAAGGGGGGTGCGATCATAGGCAAAAAACACGTTTTGAGATGTATTTGAGGTAGTATGAGCTTTTTTTTCGTTCCTTTTTGCTGGGAAAAATCGAAAATTTTTTCTCGAAGGGGGCGGCGATAGCCTAATCGCCTCCCCCCTAAATCCGCCACTGGTATCTGGTCAAAGTCGAATTGTTCCTATCAGAGCTGGGCAAGTTGAAGGTTTCTCAAGTCACAAGTCAAGTCAAGTCACTAAAAAAACTTTCAAGTCAAGTCAAGTCAAGTCACAACCCAAACTTTTTTTCTACCAAGTCAAGTCAAGTCAAGTCATGTCCCAAAATTTTTTCGATCAAATCAAGTCACACCTCAAAATTTTTTCGACCAAGTCAAGTCAAGTCAAGTCAAGTCAAATCAAGCCAAGTCAAGTCATTTCTCGAAATTTTTTTCCTAGAAGTTAAGTCAAGCCCGATTAAAAGTTAGGCAGAACATGACATTTACTAGCACTTATCGGATGAGAATCAATTTTTATAGTCTCAGAATTCTACTTCATGGTAAAAAACAATGCCTATAAGAAACAGAACTGGGCAAGTCAGAGGCTTCTCAAGTCACAAGTCAAGTCAAGTCACTAAAAAAACCTTCAAGTCAAGTCAAGTCAAGTCAGACTTGACTTGACTTGACTTGACTTGAGGCATTTTTGACTTGACTTGCCCAGCTCTGATTCCTATATGTAACTTGATGAAAAATTACTAAACTGGTAGGTTTTGTTTATTTAGAACAACTAATACAAAAAACGTGTTTTACACTATGTTGATTGCGTATGGGTTCTAAGCATCTGTAACAGATGTTTGAAACTTTTCTGTCACTTGGATAATCGCAAAGTGAACATCATTTTCGCTTAGATCGTGTGGAATTTGTAATAGATGCTTCTAATTCCGTTTCTATACGTGAATAGCCAACCAAAGCTAGCACGTTTTGGATGTCTTTGTGTAAAATTTTCGAGTTTTTTTGAGCGAAAATCTAAAAGATGGGATGTTAGAAGTGTTTCTAACTCTTCCAAAAATTAACGACGCTTATATTCTTTATTTGCATTCCAATTTGGATTTTTCTTTCTTCATATGATCATGACATTGATAGCAGAAGCGTCAATCATTCCAAAAAAAAAACACACAGTGGCCATCGTCTTGTACCTCTTTTTACAGAGTATTTCTGACATATTTCATCAACAGTGTCAACAGCTCCTTTGGTTTTGTTGTAGTCCAAAGCAATGTTTAGTTTTCTAGTTTCGATATCAACTTTGTTGTCATGATGCATAGAAGAGAGTAATAAGACAGCTTTATTTTTTTTTGGAACGTATGACACCAGAGTTAAATTGTCGTCAAAACCAAATATCGATGAACCAATGTCGCGATTTTTATTTGACTGAAACTTCATAGGAATCTCGGGCTTATTTTTTCTCAAGGTTCCTATCAAAGTAAGTTGCTTTGTTTGTAATTCTTTCGCTAGCGGAATACTTGTAAAGAAATTATCGATTGTGACATTTCTATTCGAGCCATACATTGGTTTCATCAGCTCTAGAACAACATTAACACCGACGAATTTTTGTTGTTGTTCACTAGGTTGCCGTCAGATATAGGGAAATGCATCGAATATATAATAAGAATCGACATCGACACATAACCAAGCTTTAATTCCATATTTATTCGGTTTTGATGGAATATATTGACGAAAAGGACACTTTACTCTAAATCCTAAAAGCTGCTCGTCAACCGTAACAAACAATCCAGACCTGTAGCATTTCTTTGAAGTTTCTCGAAAATCTGACCAAATTTCACAAAACGCAGAAAATTCATCCGCTCGTTTTCTCTCTTCTCTTGTTGTTTTGTCGTCAAATCTTATAGATGAAATTATTGTTTCAAAGCGATTTCTGGACATCGTAGCTCTAAATATCGGAGATTCCAATGAACTTCTATTCCACAAAGACTTAATGTTTTTCTTCGATTTTCCCAATAATCTAGCCAGCAATAAAAGTCCAATAAACGCTTTGTGTTCAATCAGCGTTATCACTTCCCATTCATCACCAGAAGCTTTATTACGATGTCCTTCCATGTTTGAATAAACCACTATCTTGCTCAGCATTTCCTCCGACATGAAACACAAAAAGGCGCCCTCCATAGAAGCTATATTTTTGGTAAATTCTGTAAGTCCAGGCTTTTCAGTGACAGCACTAGAAAATGTTGTTTTGCTTGAATGTGACGGAATCGAGGACCAGGTTATCCCAGATATGGAACTGAATAAACTTCCTCTGCTAAAATCTTCATTTGAATCATTTTCTTGTAGATCAATTTCGCTCTCATCTTCTGATTTTTTTACTTTCAGCATCTTCTGTTTCTGAACCACTTTCTCTATCCACATAAGAACAGTCTTCGTCACTTTCTTCTTCATACCAATCTTGTTCTTCCATTATCTTATCTCATGATTCTCTGTGCATTTTTGTTCGTATCATATACGAATTTGAAGGAAAGAAATAAAATGTCAGAAATCGAATGACATAAAGAAGAACGCCGTAGAACTTTCTCGAGTCATGGAAGAGAAAATATGTCACTGACGTCATGAAAAAAAGAAGAAAAGAGTAATAAGGTGTGTTTGTTTTATTCATAAATGTAGAAGAGAAGAAAGAAAAAGCAAGGAAAACATTTGTACAGCAGAATGACACTCTGCCACACCTATGCTTCTTTCATGTGAGACGACTTTATAACATTCATAATGTATTCCACACTTTAATCCTTGAAAAAAAAGTTTTCATAGTATTTTCTTGTTTTTTGAGAACAGGATCCATTTGGACCCTGGCTGGTAGTACTAGGGTTAAGTTCGACGTTTCAAAGAGTAATTTGGTTGTTGATTGAACATAAGAATAAAACATAAATGAACGTTCAGCTTGACTTTTGTTAATGTAAATTAGTGATCGATTATTAATCACAGGTAACTTAGCAAAATAATGATTTACATGTTCTCGAGCAGCATTAACAAAGTTAACTGAAACGAATTGATTTGATATTGAGCTCGGTCGACTGGAATTACCTTCTTCAAATATGATGTATTTTAATAGCTTGGAGGCGATTTCGACAATGATTTCGAGAAGAGACAGCAAGGCACTTGTTCGTGGAAATTTGTTAGCTCCTTTGCGGACTGTACCTGCCAAATGTTCATCTGTTTGCTATACAAGTTTGAATTCGGAATTTAATATCGAAAGCATCATTTTAAAATCACTGATCGGCACACCTTCATCAGTAAAATCGGTGGAGCAAACGTTAAATGCATTATACATGTGTTGATTTTGATCCGTTGAAGAAATAGCTTAATTTGTTTCTGTAATGCCTTGTTCTTGACGGAGTTGTTTCATATAAGCATTATCAATTGAAGCTAGAGTAAATCAGAATACAAGTGTTCCAGAAGGGTTCGACAAAAAAAGAGATAAGTTCTATAAAAGCCTTACAGAATTTTTTTTATCAATAATAATATCACAAGTGTATTTTTGGAATCGAAATTCATGTGACTTTTGAACGATTTCATGACCAATAATTAATAAATGATCAATAGAAGCAATATCTTGTGTTAATTTTACACTTTGTGGTGGAATAAATTCAGTAATTGTCGGCAAATGCCAAATACCCAATCTACCTAGTATACCAATATTCTCTTTTTTTTTTGGTGCATTGCTTGAAGAGTTGCAGACATTTTGCTACCAGTTGTAGCTAAAGCAAAAAACAAACAGAGATTTTTATGTAATACATTAATATCTATCATCAAAGTAAAAGAAGCTAAAACTTACGCATTGATAAAGTAGCATTTTTTACACTAATGCTTTGTCGATCAAGTGTTCGATTGCAATTAACCAGCCCATCAAGACCAGCACATATAAGGTTGACATAATCTGCATGCTTGAGATCTGATGGAGAATAAAAGCCGCAGGTTGATAATTTTACATGTTCTTCATCATGACATAGAGATGTATCAGTTGTGGCAAGATTTTTAGTTATTGCCAATTCTGTATAAACTTCATTCATGAATGAAGCTTTGGCCATTTTTGTTGATGTATTCGATAATTCCGTTTGTTAAGCCGGAATTTGATCGCTGTCAATTTTATTAGCATTTTTGTCGATTTCAGGAAAATAAACATCTTCATAATGATGACCAAGTGTGTTTATTCCATGACGCACGAGTTTATAGCTATTTTTGTTTGTTCCTAGAAAAAATCAAACCTAATCATGCAATCTATCAATTTCAATAATGCTTCAACTAGGGTGTGAGTGTGGGTGTGGGTGGGTGTGGGTGTGAGTGTGGGTGTGGGTGTGGGTGTGGGTGGGTGTGGGTGTGAGTGTGGGGGTGGGGGTGGGTGTGGGTGGGGGTGGGGGGGGGGGTGCGCGGGGGGGTGGGGGTGGGGGTGGGGGTGGGTGGGGGT